ACAAAAAGAAGGCAAATTGTGATATTTTTACACGATCAATATCTTGGCTTTGAACATGAGCATTATAAATGAGTTCACATTGAGTTGCTGTCCAAGATGGCTGCCCATTCATTCAAGTTGGATGCATACTCATATTGGACCCAATTTGTCATCTTGATGCAGTTCTCATGAAATGGTCCATAGTCACAAGAACTGTGCAGTGTTATGACTATTCACATAAAGCTGATAATCCAAAAATGATTTTCATGTACTTCCAATACATATGTTCTTCTCCAAATGAAACGACTACTACTATGAATACTACAAATACTTTTCCTGCCTATACTGTCCAGAATGACACATAAGCCTTCAATATCAGCAAGTGTGGGTGTACACAAACCAGAAATTCGACTCCAGTTTTAAGTATTTACACATAATTCCAAAATTGACATGCACAAAGAAAAAGATGATGTGGCTGTGAAAGGGAGAAGGTGGAAGAAGTTGTCATCTGTTGGGTTGGTCTGAGAGGACGAGCTGAAGGCTGGACACAGGGAGACGCAGTGTGGGAGGTTCTGTCTCCACCCGAGCTGCTTACAGGCCCACATATGTGAAAGAGGTATGCACTAACTCACTAGGGAGGGATGATGGGAGGAGGGGAGAGAGGATAAAGGGATGCGGATAAGGATGAGCAGAGGGAGGGATAGGGTAGGGATGAAGGATGAAGGGAAGAGAAAGGGAGGGTGGGTCGAGAAAAATGAGACAAACAGGGTCTGAAGGGTTTGACCAGGGATAAGTAGCTTGATAGGGGATTAGAGGTGTGGTTCAGGCGTGGCCCTGCTCCTGAATCTAACTAATCAACTTCACATAAAGCAACAAGGACCAACAACATACAGTGTTTCTGTAAAACCAAACAAATACAGATGCAAAGGAGACAGCAGGTTATAGTCTGCCAGCAGAACCTCATAAGTAATCTGCAAAAAGCAGAGATGCAATCCTGAGGTCATCATAATGGACACTCGTCATCTTTGGTTGATAGAAATCAAGAACAGAATAGGAGATAAGAACACCGGATGGCACATGGCAAAAGTAATTCAAAGAATGATAAAACTAGTAATGCAGTGCAGAATCATAGCAGCTGTATATATACTCACTTGTTAAAGTTTTTCTCAACTGGTTACACACTAACATCATTACAGGGATTTTGACAAGACTAAAAACAAAAACTGACATTTGTAGCACAATTACTGAAACCACTGACTCATGTAGTCTATCTATTGACCATGTATGCTAAACCATAAGCACACTGTCTGCTTTACACTAAGTTTGAAATTCTAAAATGTGCAAATAACTACATATGGCTATCTACGTTACTACATAACATGGTTGTATATGTAACAATAAAGCTGATTCTACAAGATTTTATTCTATTAGACACATCATTCAAAACTGTTGTTTGCTAAACACTGCCACTGAAATACCACACTCAGTTATCAATCACCTGCACCCAGAATGCACATGTAAATACACCTGTAACCAATTAGATCACTTAGCTTGAACACTTTAAATAGGATTCAGGTTTGCTCTTTGGTGTGCACATGTAAGACGGGATTGGACTGGACGTTAATGTGCAGTTGTCATGTGGAAAGTTGTGATGCAAAAATACACATTTTAGAAGAGTTTATAGAGTTGAATGAAGTGTTAAGATATAAGATATTTAGTTTTTTGTCAAAAATGGCCCTAGTTTCAGAAATAGTAAAAAACTGTAACTCCTGTCGGTGTCTGTCTTGTCACAAGACCTCATCAAAGTTTCGTTGGAGGACACAGTCGAGTGCTTTTTACATAATCACTCCAGTACTGTCTTGATATGCAGTACTAAGTAAGGGGAGTAGATTTTTTTGAACCTATTCTCATTTCTGTATAATTGAATCCAGTGAAGCGGCTCAAGTGTGGCTGGTTTCTCAGCCGTGCCTCCCTCATCATCAGACCAGGACTGACCATGTGACAACTGCTCACCTGGGTTATAGTCTTGGTCCTCCTCCTCTCACTTCTCTCGCTCTACGTTTCTCTGCTAATTGGCATGCACTGGAGAAAGGAGAGGAGAACTTACTTTTGTCCCTTTTCTTGCTAAAGCTATGGTTGCTGATTGAAAAGCAACAGCTGTATGCTCGTACTGTATGAGGCATCAGTGTTGCGATTGTGGTTTGAGTTTAGCATTCGGAATGATTGTGTTTTCCATATGAATGCAAGAGATTTTATCAATAAAGATTGTGCCAGATATAAAGAAGTGTGTGTTGTGCGGCTGAGAACTGCAAAATGAGTGAAAAGCAGGAAAGGTGTCTGTATTTGTGCACAGTTGGTGTAAGATACATGAGATCCAGGTTTTGGTCATTGGTTCCAGTTGCAGTGTTGAAAAAAAGTTTTAATTAGACTTTTTAAACATAGAAAGCTCACAGCAATCCATGCATAACTGCGACATCAATTCATTGGGTATGAACAGTGTTTCACTAAAGTACTTACTTGCCCATGGACCCTCCAGAACTGCTTTCACTTACTGGGATATGGATGTATTACTGAAGATTGACCTCATTTGTTTGGGCGTTTCTGGTTAAATAAGAGGACGTTACTGATGTACAAGCAGCTGAAATTTCACTCTGACGTTAAAAATAACTTCAGTTATTTAGGTTTGATGAGACCTGAGGTGTTTCCAGGCCTTGTGGGTGTTTGACAAGAAACTGAAAGTATGTATTGAGTCATCAGAGAGAGAGAGAGGGAGAGTGAGAGAGAGGAGCTGGAGTGTTAGGGTTCGGGGAGATAATGTGTGTGTGAGAGGAAGTGTTTACCCCCTGCAGAGTGGTCAGTCAGAATAATGTGTGTGTGTGTGTGTGTGTGTGTGTGTGTGTGTGTGTGCGCCACATTGTTGCATCTGAACCATCTGTCAATAAACTGTATTTAAAAAAGACTTTCCTAAAGAGCATCAAAAGCAGTTTTACAATGGAGACAATAGAACATCCATGTAAAACAAAGAAACACAGGAAGGATTTGTTTTAAGTGGATTTAAAGGATTTATTCAGTTTTTTGTTTTCTAAATAAAATCCACAAAACTGTATTCAAACCACCAGCTGTTTCTGCTTGTGACAGGAAAAAGCCCATCTGCTTACGTCCAGCAGAAAGTGAAGGGTTGTTATCACTTCATAATAAAAAGGGAAAATAAGATAATCTGTCTAAATGCTGCTTAAAATTCAGTTTGATGACAATATGAGTTCATCGGAAACGGTTCTCATCGTGCATCTGTTCAGCAGAAAACGCGGCTGGTCAACTTTCAGCAGGAAGAAGAAATAAGGATGAGGATGAAAAACGGCTTTTTACTCCACGTTCACCACTGAGTTCATCACCTTTGTTACTTTTCAAGAACTCAGACTGTTAAATGCTACTTTTATGTAATTGTATCGTGTTTTCAAAATCTCTGTAGAGGCCTAACACACAGACATAATTATCTTCACTAAAGTTAGAGTTTCTTAATGTGCACATAAAGAGTTGTTTGTTTCTTGTGTCTGTACTTTCTAACTGCCAAGAGACTTGTTACTGTAATGACTCCTGTCTTCTAGTGGCCTGATTAACCTGTTAGGGGGGCCCCAGGGAACAGGAAATTACTGTTGACCCTCCCATCTCCCAACCTCTGCTATGCATTGTGTATGTATCCTCGCACCTGTAAGTTCTCATCAAAAACAGTACACACAGACAGCAGCATAATTTTATTAAACTCAAATTAATTCAGTACTTCGAACGATAACTTGTCTTAATATCTTTTTCCACAAAAAAAAGTCAACTTACTTACAAATTCTTGAAATTACTTCTGCATCTTCTCCCTCACAACAAATGTGAGTCAATATTTGCTCAGTATTCTCAGTATTCCCAGTATTTATTCCCTGGAGGCTTCAAGTTTCCACATGACACTTGGACCATGATTGGCTCAAAGCTAGTTGAGAAGTCACTAAATCCACACGGCTTAAAGTCAGATTTAAGGTGAGCACAGATCAACTTCTCCCCCCTTCAACTGTTGAATGTCAAAACAGCCTTCTAGTGTCAAACTCTTTACATACATCAATCTTCACAGTGAAGCTCAAACATCCAACTGAAGCAACAACATGCAAAACACATTTTTGAGTAAAAGAGGGACGATAACACTGGATCGTCACACAAAGCACCTCTACAAGACAGAGCTATTCCCAAAAGTCTCCTACTCATATACACAGCGTATATGACCGCTAGGGGCTTTATGATAAATAAACATTATGTAGGATTCGTGGCATCTAATGGTGTAGCAGATTGCAACTCACTTGTTTCACCATCCCTTCCCAGCAGCGAAAGGAGGAACTATGGCGGCCGCAAAGTGCACTAAAAACCTGTAGAAACATGACAACTCAGACTCTGAGACTCTCATTCTAAGGTAACGATTCTTATTTTCAGGTGATTATAGACTCATGAAAACATAACTTTGAACATTATATTACACTTCTGACAATAGCTACTCTTAAATTTTAAATACTGGACCTTTAAACAGGTAGTTCACCAAAATCACAAAAAATATACTGTATATTTTCACTTGAATTGAGAAGTAGATTATTTTGAGAATTCTTTCTCTGAACAATGAACGATGAGCAATTTATCTACTTATTGGAAAGAAAACAGAGAAAACCCCAGCTGAGCATTCAACTTTGAACTACAGTCATGGCTGCCCACAGCTATCCACGTTAGCGACCATGCTAACTGTCCAACATCATGAATAAATAGATGAAAAGTCACTAGTTTCTTGTTTTTAACTACTTTTAAAAAACAGTTTTCCTTCTTTAACTTTTAAGTTTTAGAGAAAGAAGAAGAGAGCTTCACTACCAACGTGCAGGAAACTGAACTTGGCTTTTTGCATATCTCTGCATTCCTCTCTCGGAGGGGTCATAGGTCATGGTTAGGCAGAGTGCTGCGACCCTGAGGCAGATATGAAGAAGAAGAAGTACTTTCCTCAAAGGCACTTTGTCAAGTTCAAGTTTATTTGAATGCACAAGTTTATACAAGTTCTAAACGCTTTACAAAGTGTGAAACGAGGTTAAAACATTGACAAACACGGATTATACACACAGATATGTAAAGGTTTATTCAGACATTGAGGCGGGTTTCTCCAAGTTTTTTATTTGCAGAAAACACTCAACTCAATTCAATTCAATTCAATTCAATTTTATTTGTACGGCGCCAAATCATAACAGAAGTTATCTCAGGACACTGTTCAAAATAGAGTAGGTCTAGACTGTACTCCTTATAAAATTACTTACAGAGACCCAACTGTTCCCACCATGAGCAAGCACTTGGCAACGGTGGCAAGGAAAAACTTCTTACACTCAATGCTCTACTTTAGTTTGCAGGCTGTCTTGTTGGCCTGTGCTCTCCACTGGTAAACCCCTTGACTGTCAGTGCCAGGAATCAAACCACAAACTCATGGGTGATTGGGTCTTCGGCTCCACCCACTGATGATTGCCTGGACCAATGAAATTACTTCGTTAGCTCAACGAACTGCAACTTAGGAAAACATATGCAAATGGCCAAAAAACAAGCAAATTAAGAAAACATTTTCGCGGCAAACCATGGCAACAAGAAGCGTGTCCCAGCTGTGTTCATCCCTTTTTAGTGTCGCCCGGAAACAGTTTCTGTTGTTTACTGTTGCAGCGTTTCTGTATTTGATTGTGTTTTCTGTTTTTTGCAGCGCATTTGAGTATTAGGTTGTGTTGCAACTGCATTTTCTTTAAAACCTGCACGTGTTGTCAAACTGAAAAAGACGTTTCTTAACTTGTGTTATGTCAAATTTAATGTGTTTTCTTAAGCTGAAGTGCGTTGAGTTCTCAGGGTCGCTGTATACGGTTACACTGTTTCAGCACCGACTCAGGGAACTAAAATCACAATTACAATATTAAACTGAAGCTAATTACTGATCAAGCTTGTGCGTGTGTGTTTGTTATGGAAGAAAGTGCACAGTCCAGTACAGTAATGACGTTAGAGGGCTGTACAGAACTGAGTGCGCTTCCACTGAGCACAACTGAAACCCATTGGACCAAAAAACACTCACACACCCTTCATCTGTAGCTATATGCTTCACCACACACCTACACAGACTGCTTCTTTACGCTCACTGTGTATTCGAACAGAGAAAGTTCCCCTGCCGTCTGACGGGCTCATTCAATGACTCACGGACTGAGTGAAGGAAACCACACACTCTCATTTGGGTATTCAGTCTAAGCTCCTAGCCTTGCTGCTGAAAGATGGAGAAAATTAACAATCAGTGGTCTACCCAATGAGGGCCACTGAGCAAAGTGGCAAACCCCACAATGTTTACAGGAGACTGATCAATGCCCCACAGCAAAGGTTGAACGGTTTCTGAAGTGGTTTTTAGGTGTTCCGCTCCATTTACTTTCATTTAAATGGTCATTCAGTCTGTATATTTTTGAGGGGTGACATTTAACCCCAGTAATTTTCCCTACGCTTCCTGTAAACTGCATCTACAGCAATCGAACATGATGCAGGTTCACTTTGGGCACAGAGAGCTTTGCTTGAAATCTCAGCCAGCAGCTTAATTTGCAAGAATTTGCCAGATTTTAAAATACGTGGCAAATGGATATGAGACAGCATGTTGTGTGTGTACTAACATGACGTCAGTTAATAAAATTAAGGTATACTAGAAATTTGGTATTAAAAACTAAAAAAACAAATATTGGTCAAACTAAGAAAATAGATTACATTTACCATAAAGCAACATGATCGCAACATCTCTTCATCCGCACCTGCCTACCTGATAAACGCCCACATTTTTTTAACTCTACACCCTCAGTTTGTAACACAGGCTTTCAGGTAGAAATTAATTTGAAGTTTCCAAGCCTAAATCGAGCGATGTCACTTAGTCATTTCGTCAGACTTGACAACCCTCCTTCAGAACAGGAGAAGACATTCTGTTATTTCACAGGCTGAGTAGACTCCACCATGACTAGTAATCCGACTTTGATGTGTAAAATTGGTGGAGTCCCCCGTTAAAACAGACCGATCTCTCGGTCGTGTCTGATGCGTAACAGGTTATGTGGGACTTTTAGAAGTGATCATGTGTACAACAAAGAGGTAGAGGAATGAAAGGAAACATCGCTGGGTGTAACTGTGCATCATTTTAGTCAAAATAAGAACGTTCACAGTCTGACTAAAACTAAAACTGAGAAGTTTAAACAAAGAAACTTTTGCATGACTGTAAAATTCTGATGTACACAGTAAAAAAAAACCTGTGATCTCACTGCAGAGCACTTCAACCTGCAACAACATATACACTACGCTAAACAGGTTTCTCGTGAAATGTCCAAATACACGTTCAAACATAAGTAAAGGGGTAGATCTGATTACTGAAGTAAACTGTAGTTATAAGGTCGCACAACTCGCTGAATTGCATGAAATTGCAATTGCAAAAGAAATTTTTTTTTTATTGGGTCAACTCACTTTCTTCTAGGAACCTCCTGTTTCTTAGGAGGTGTTTCTGTTCCTGTTGACCCAGTTTGGGACCCAGATACGTCGTTTGAGAAACTGCTGCAGACCAGTTTGATGTTTAAAGGTTTGACAGTGAATAAAAAAAAACGGTTTACATAGTTTCTGTATGAATGACTGAAACTACAGAGTGGCTTTGTGTGTCTGTTCGATTACTTGAAACCACAGCATGTCTGTGTGTGTGTGTGTGTGTGTGTGTGTGTGTGTGTGTGTGTCTGTGTGTGTGTGTGGTTGCTACATGAAGCATATGAGTACACAGAACATTTCTCTATATGTCTTGGAAACACTAGCAAATAGCCTGTAGGTGTGAATGGGTTTGTGTTAGTTCTGTGATAGGAAATTTTTCAAGCCCCCAGGACCCTGAACATGAAGGGGGCTTAGAAAATGCTTGAATGGATGGAAAATTGGAGGCGCTAATGCTGTAGAGGTCCAGTGTGTAGGATTCAGTGTGTAGGATTTAGTGGTATTTAGTCAAACAGTGTAGTTGCAGATCTCACTTCAACCTCCCCTTCCAAGCTCGAAGAAGAAACTACAGTGGCTGCAAAATGCTAATCCCAATCTTGTTCCGTCCGTCCTGGGCTTCTGTGCAAACATGGAAGTTCAACATGGCAGACTCCGGCGTGTGTAGACAAAAATGGCTCATTCTAAAGTAGCAAAAACAAAAAATCCTATATTGAGGTGATTATACACTAATAAAAACATGTCATGAATATTATATTCAATTTCAGCCAGTAGATCCTCCTAAATGTTACCCACTGGACCTTTAAAACATTGAAAATGCACACTAAAAAAAGGTTTACCCAACAAAAACAAAAAAAAAAAAAGGTAATTTTTTGGAAAAAAGAACCCCCCCCATATAAAAAACCCCCCCCCAAAAAATTTAAAAACCCCAAAACCCCAAAGCCACCAAAAAAACCCTAAAAAAAAAAAAAAAAAAAAAAAAAAAAATTTTTTTTTTTTTTTTTTTTTTTTTTTTTTTTTTTTTTTTTTTTTTTTTTTTTTATTTTTTTTTTTTTTTTTTTTTTGTCTTTCAAGCATTTCCTTGTTAAATGAGATGAATACAGTTATATCTTTTTATATTTCTCATTTTAGCCTGACATGTTTGGTTTCCTTTTAAACTTGTAGCTCGGCACAAAACAAGGTTGTAGTGATTAAAGAGTCAAGTCAATTCCATTTTTATTCATATAGCCAAGTATCACAAATCACAAATTTGCCTCAAGGGGCTTTACAGTCTGCATACGACACCCTCTGTCCTTAGATCCCCAATTCCAAGAAGTTAAAACTCCCTTCCAACAAACCTTCTCCAGGGGAAAATAAATAGAAGAGGGGTCCCTCTCCCAGGACAGACAGACATACAACAGATGCCGTTTTTACAAAATAGATCCATAAATGATCGATACACATAATCCGGGAGGACGTCGAGAAACAGGTGTCGCCAGATAGGTACAGCCTGATCTGTATGACCTCCTCTCCACCAAAGAGACCTGGGAAACGCATCACAACATTCACACAGACAGGAGAGACAGACAAACACACAGCACAGGGAGGGAGGGAGAGAGGAGAGGCTGAATCTCCTGGCGGACGATGATCCAGATTCAAACGCCAGGAAAGAGAACGGAGAGAGAAGAGAGAGTGAGGAAAGAGAGAGGAGAGGTTGATGAGGAAGTGTTACAGGCTGCCACACTGCAGCACTATTAACAGTTTTTATTGTTTTGTTTTTCAAGTCTTGCTCCTTTTTAAGTCAGCTTCAGTCCCACGGGCCTCAGCATGATGTAGTGTCTAACAAAGAATTTCTTTCACTGATTGTTATTCTGAAAAGCTGAAGCACGATAGAAGGACTGTTTATTCATACCATAAAACAAATGTATATCTATCACTGTACAGGGCAAAAATAAGTCTAAATGACGCCTGATAGCATGGATCCTCCAGTCCTCTGCAGTATGTTCAATGTTCAGAGTAATCAGCCATTAGCAGCCAGGCTGAGGGATACATCATGTATTATTTAGGGTCTGTTGCTTATGAGAGGGGTCTTCCACCCCAAGGAGCAGTGAAACACCAGTAATATTGGGCATCATTGATCCAATTGTGCACTTAAAGGCAATGAGATGATGTGATGATAGGAGTGTATCAGAAGGCAAAGCCCAGGGGGAGTTCCCTGGAAATAAATGCCCAAATTCTTCCAATCAGCTTCTACTCCTGTGAGGGTAAACTGGTCAGTCAAAGAGGTCTAAAGGTCTGAGTGCTGTTGAAACAATTCACAGTTTACTGTCAGAACATTTGTCACTCGTGCAGCTGTTAGATGAAGGAAATGTGACACAGACGTGTTTGGTTTAACAAACAACCAAACGACAAAAAGGCTTAAACTGCTGCTTTGACGTGAGAGGACTTCCTGTACAGTGTGAATATTAACAGCTGGGAATCCTGCTGATTCGTCACAAATACACACACACACACACACACACACACACACACACACACACACACACACACACACACACACACACACACACAGCAAACAAAGGCAATGGCATTGTTAGGGTTCCTTTTTTGTGGTTTGATCCAGAAGATTCCTACAGATGGCTCTTTAACACACACCCTTTTGAACTCTGTGTGTGTGTGTGTGTGTGTGTGTGTGACACATGAGAGATCTGACAGAGGAGTGAAAGTTTTGAGGTAGTTTTGTTTCCATTTCTTCACATCTTAAAAGAAATGCAGAAACACTTTGTTCATTAGAAAAAAGATCATATTAAGATCAGATCATATAAAGTTAAAATTTACAAAAAGTGATCATTATGGAGAGGTTTGCTGTTCTATGTTGTTTTATGTTACAGTTCCCCACAATCACACTTGGGATCAGAGAACAAAATGGAAAAAAAGACAAAGATAGATAAATATTTACAGTGAAATAATGAGACTGTTGCCTTATAGTAATGCGTTCTTCACTTTTCTGTCTTGTTCTGTGGCTTTTTGTACACTTAGATATATTTTTAATGTGTTTTTTTTCTCCAACATTTTCTTTATTTTCCTCTTTCCTCCATATGCGTATTTGCACTTGTAGTTTCACCCCTTGCCTCCTTTCTTTTCTTTCTTTAATTCCTCCCTGTCTTCAGTTCCTTGTAGTCTTAAGTTTTTCTGTGTTTTGGGATCCGTTTGGACCAGCTCTACCCTCCTCAGCATCCCATTGGCAGAGGGTAGAGCTTCCTCAGAAGCTATTGGCTGAGAGAGAGGGGTCCCCTCAGCTTTATTGGCTGGGAGGGAAACACTTAAACTAGCCCCCTGCTCTCTCCTCACATGCAGCAGCACACTTAAAAACACTTTGTACAGTGTGTGTGTGTGTGTGTGTGTGTGTGTGTGTGTGTGTGTGTGTGTGTGTGTGTGTGTGTGTGAGTGTGTGTTTCTTGGAAGAGTTCCTGTTTTTTGGTTACTCTGAGTTCAACAGGTGGTCTGACTGACTTCTTCACACTGTTTACGTTCACTCTAATAATCAGATTTTAAAAACATTCTGAACATTTCATTTGTTAATAACCTCACAGGGGTGTGTCACAGGCTGAAAAGCCTGTTCCTGTTTGTAATATTTTTCAGTTTTTAACACTATGCTCTTCCTCCAATGCACAGTGTGGGGTTGGTTATATTGTTTATATTGTCATTCTAAACTGCATTCAGTATTCATTGTGCAGATTGGAAGCTTAACATGGTACAACATGTTCTTTTTGCTCGAATTTGTCATGTTTTAGTCTAAAAGAATGAAATAAAAACAGCAAGCACTCCCTGTGCAACAACCTTCTGCTTGTGTGTGGATTAAACAAACCTACACAGATAGAACATGCTAATGGATCAAATTTAGAAGTGCTAGTCGGGGATTTTTTAAGTTTAGGACAGAGCGAGGCCAGCTGCTTCCAGTCAGCTGCTGGGTCCAGCTTCAGCTTTACTTTACAGACATGAGAGTGGTATCGATCTTCTTGACTTATCCTCAGCAAGAAAACTCTCAAACTGTATTAAACATGCGCTACAAGTTGCAATATTTCGACAAGAAGAATGAGGAGGTTAGAAGAAAGAAGTTAACACTTGTTAAAACGTTCACAATAGCTATATGTCACCATTGTACAGCACATCGAGCCACTGACTTTGTCTTTTCCTTCTTATATCAACTTTTAGAGCAACCTTATAGTGTGCTCTACATTTTGTAGTGACCACTAAACGCCGTGTAAGGTATAAGAGAAACCTGATTCCCCCAGCTAGATTTTACCTCAAGAAGACTGGTTTCTTTGCAGGTAAACATGTTTCTAATTTGCTTTTTACAAGTGCAGGACGAACACTTCAAACAAGGAAAGCAGCAGCGGGATTCACATAGAAACAGCCGGAGACAATGAAATATGAGACCGAAGGTCTAGTTGGAGTAACAGATTACGGAATTTAAAGACCTCAGATGCCAAAACAATGACTATAGTATATACAGTATTTAGTTGGGACCATTGCAAGGTAAACAGTAGAAGTACTCTACCAGTAATGGGTGCCTGCTTGTATTTGAGTTCCCAGGAACCTCCCTGCATTGGTGCTGTGGGCTGACTCCACTCAAATGAACAAGAAGATTTGGTCCACGGTGGGCTTAAGTCAGTCTGAATGCAGCCTTACATAGAACGATGCATGATCTTTAAAATAATTTCATCTGAGTCAAGAAAGTCAGGAAGTAGCATCTATCACTAATACAGTTAAACTAAGAAAGCCATGGCTGAAAATTAAAGAGAAATCTGATTACTGACCTGCTGCATGTACACACAGATGTACAGTAACCTGGTTACTTAAATGCATGTAACATACTAAGAGATGGCAACTCCTGCACAGAGAGTTAATAGTGTGTCATATAATATTTTACTTTAACGTACACAGTGTAAGACAGCACCAGGGCTTTGGAGGGATGTTTTGTGGATTGTGGATGGAAAGAGGAAAAAAAAGCTGTGAATAGTGAGAGGGAAAAAGTAAAGCACACGTGAGGAGGGAAAGAAAAAAGGAAATCTATTGTCATCTTTTCTTGCTCTGCCCCCCCACCTCTCCTGTCAGCCCCATTG